GCTAGAACCCTGCCCTGTGAGCCAGGTCAAAGGTGGTCAGGGCACTCCCAGAGCTTCTGTCCCACCAGCGGCCCTGGAAGTGGGGAGGCCCCACCTTTGGGGCCATACTTGCCCAGAACTTAGTCTCAGCACCAGGCAGGTGAGGGCAAGATGAGCAGCGCTGATGTCTCATCCTTCTCTGGGGCCGTGCGGAGAGAGGCCCAGTGTTCGTAGCTCCTGGAATGGAGTAGAGGTCTGTCTCACTGTGCTGGGAGGGGAGGGCAAGGGAGGGGGAAGGGGGAAGGTCAAATACAACAGATCTTTCGAAGCTCTCTTCCTGATCTTACCAAGTAAATGTTTCTTCATTGGCGCATACACTTAGGACCATTTCCAAAGACTTTAAATGCTTCTTTAAAAAAAATAATCTTTATTAGTTTTGCTGGGGAGCCAGTGCACAAATCTCTTCATGCTGTCATGCTGGAAGTGGAGCCCTTATTGCTGTTATTTAATAGACAATGTCCATATATTTGGGAGGTTGGGAGCAAGGGGCTGTGCTCAGACAGGAAATGAGAGTCACTCAGGAATTAGAACAGTTACAAAATCTAATCATAGAATTCCAAGGTGGTAAAGGCTGCTAGATGTTATCAGCCTTTAACTGGACTATCAGATTTAACTGGATGGAGCAATCTCTCTTAGACCATTCTTGGATGTGGTCCTTTAGTCCTACCTGAACACTCCTAGGAATGGGAGCCTCACTACTATTAGTTCAGACTGAATTTTATCCCTATGGGCAACATAAACACGCAAAACCCAGATAGCTTGTGTCTAGCAAGGCTGACTGTGTGTACAAACAAAAGGGTAAACAGAGAAAATACATTCTTTGGAATCCTAAATGACTTTATGTCACCAGCAGGTCATGCTGTAAAAAGTCAACTAGCTGCTTTTGGACACCAGGTGCCTGGGAGACTGCTCTAATTTTAGAATTAACATAGTGCTTACTAAAGAGGCCCAGGACTCATGGGTCTGGAATGTGACGTTCTCTCACCTTCAGGCTGTGCAGACTCATGTCCTGATGTTAATTTTGCTCCAATTATTTTCTGATATTGAGAAAGGGAGAGCCAGACCACAGAACTGGCATGTGCCTGAGGAATTTGCCAAGAAATATGATTTAAATGCCAACGTTGAGAGATAAAGTCGGTGATGGCCACTCTCTGAGGGCTAAGAGCTCATGTTCATAGTGGCATTGTGCTGATTATCCTGTACCCTCTCCAGATCCTTTCTCTACCCCGCTCTGCTCCATGCGCAGCAGGCTGACCCCTGCAGGGGGCATCAACTGAGCCCCCTCACTAGTCATCTCGCAGTTGTGTACCACAGATCACAGAATGGGAAGAGAGAAGCAGAGGTACTGCTTCTCTGCTCAGGAACCTGGTCTTTGGCTGGAGTGATGGTCCTTCCTTCTCTGACCCACATTCAGTAGCACAATTTCCTGCCCTTGTCCTGCTGGGCCTGGGAGTACTGCTGACGGCTGGTTCCTGGGTGTCTCACTGTCCTGTGTTTGTACTGGGAACATTCGTACCTTTGAAACAGACCTTCACTAAAATCTCTTCATTTGATCCAAGTGTGGGTGAATTCTCTTCCCTATCTGATAGTCTCTTTGTTACCATCTTGCCATGGTAACATCATTCCTCTGTCTCCCCCAGTTATTGTCAAGCCTAGAAAGCAAGTAAGCCACATGTTGCTGTCCTAGAACTGACTCAGGGGGAGCTCGGGCACTCCTCTGGGTCCCATGGAAACAAGAGATGACAGCTCAGATACTGCCCTGGAATTTTAAGCCTCTGCTAGATCCATGAAGCCATTTATTCCATTAGCTCTTTTCAGAGGTAGAAGAGCTATCATTTCTACACAGCCCAACTGTTGCTTGGAATCAAAACTTGTTTGGTTTTTGAACTTTTCCTGCATCAATGTGAAGTACACAGATCGTTTGTTCCCTATGGGAAATTCCAGGACACAGCACAGGGTTTCCTAGTTTAATTTTGAGTACTTGTCCGCTGAGTTCTGCCCCAAAGTCCTAGCTAATCAATACATTCCTTTGTCCATGAGCAGGAATATAAAAAAAATTTTTTTGAAAATGGTACAGCATAGGAAAAAGCAGACTACCTTCTTAGGTCTGTGTTAATTCATCCAAGCTCTTTCATAGCCAGCTGACTGAGCTTTCTACTTATAAATAGAGGGGGCTTCCAAAGACTGAGACCCATCATTACTTTCAAGCATTCATGTCACAAGCCAGCCCCAGCTATAGTTTACTAAGCAGTTAGCTGGCTTACTGGTTTGAATCTTTTATTTATTTATAGTAACAGTAACATTTGGCACTTACACGGTCTCCTAAAAGCCTGATAACCCCAGTTATCTTGTGCCCTAAGTGGCCCAGCTTTCACTGAGTTAGAAATGAATGTTTGGAGGAGGCAGGGTGAGGGGGAACATTCTGATTTGCCAACAACTGCCTAATGCAAGTACTGTGTCTTTGGAGCAGCCACGGCGGCTGCCAAGGAGGCCTGTGAATTCCCCGTGGTAGCTGTCAGGCCAGCCTAGGTGCATCCGAGATGAAACTCTGGAGTTATTTCTGGAGCAGTGATTGATGTTTCAAACAGGAGATGACATTCTGATGGGTTCCAGACTTGCTATGATAGGAGTTAATGAGGATAATGATGATGATAATTATATTTATATTATACCTTTTTTTCCAAAGAACCCTTCAGTCCTTTTATCTCATTTGCTTTGAAAATGTCCCTCTGTAGTTGGGAGGGGAAGGTGTTACTCATCTGTTTTTCAGGAGAGAAAATATAGAGTTAACTACCCAGCTTCCAGGTTCCATTTTGGAGGTGAGAGGTGATGTTTAAATGACAAATTAAATGTGCAGAAATTAAGCTTAGAGAAACACTAGTCTCAGTTCCCATTCCTCCTATACAATGCTGTCATTTCAAGCTCTAGTAAGACCATTCCCTGACCCAGAGGTCTTTAGGGCAATCCTCGCAGACTGCCAAAATCAGTCCCCAAACCCTATCCTAACAGGCAAGGTTCTCCACATCCCAATCTACACCATCTCACTATGCTTTTATATTTTACCATGTTTCATCCAAACAAATCTACTTGCTTGGCACTCCCATCTGCTCTGAACACCCCATCCTTCTTTCATAATATTGACCACACTTGCTGTAACTTGTTCAATGTCTGTCTTCCTATTTGGGTATACATTTCAGGAAAGCAGGGACTGTCACCACAGTACCTCAGAGCCTAGCCTAGCAGAGTCACTGGCACGTAGCAGGTGCTTCTGAAGTGTGCACTGCGCTCTCCCCCTCCATGCCTTTGCTCATGCGGCTCCCTCGGCCTACAACGCCCACACTCCCATATTTTCCTATTGAAGGTAGGGCTGTCCTTTCAAGCCAAATGCAATCCCAGATTCCTCTCGCTGGCCTGCCCTACTTGGGAACCACCACAGCACTATTATTTTCAGTTCTTGCCTTACCTTCTGTTGAGTCATAATTGTTTGTATACTCATGTATCTTCCTTTCCTGCCCCTCCCAGCCTGTCAGCTCTGGAAAGGCAGGAGCTGCACCCTGGAGCCTGGCAGAGTGTGGGCATTTGTTAAACATGTGCTCACTTGTCTAAAACTATTGTTGACCAGCATTCTTATTCTTCATTCAGCAAAATTCCCATTTCCAGAATCTGCAGCTTATCATGAGAGGGGATTTTTCTCATTCTTATCTTCCTCCATTCTTCTGGAAGTCTGGGAGGAAGATCAGTCACAGAAACCCCTGCCAACTCTTCATTTAAAAGGTGTCTCCCTTCTCCTCTGGGAGGAAGATTCTGCACTCAGGCGGAGAGTCCCTTTGCTACTAGGGCCCAGGATAGTTGACAGGGTTGGCAGTTAGCATTTCTTAGCTTTATCACTCAAATCGATGCCAGCCTAAATAATGGAGAACTAATCAATATAAGATCAACTGAGCAGATGTGATTAAATCAATGACCTCTCGGAGGAATTTTAGTACTCCTCTGTGCTTCTGGTCAGCATTTGCACATACCAGTGGGTTATGATAAGAAGACACCAGATTGAACTAACTCTTGTGTGTTTTGTGAAACTTCTAAGCAGAGCATTTTTGACAGCTTGAAGACCCCCAGCTACTAGCAACATGGGAATACCGAGCATCTGTGATACAACATTCTATATAAATTAGAAGGGACTCCTTCAACCGTATCATGGAATATTCAGGGCTGTTAAAATTGATGATGCAGATCTCTATTTACTGACGTGGAGCTATGCCCACAATATATTGCTAAGTGAAGTAAGCAGGCTATAAGACAATATGATTATGTAAAATTATTCCATATTTACATCTACTCATAGATGGGGGATAGTCTCTGAAATGTTATCTGAGTGGTTATCTCTAGGTGGGGAAATTTTGAGTAATTTTTTTCTTTAGTTTTGTTTATACTGTTTCTTTTGTATTGTTTGAATTTTAGTTTTACAGTGAGCAGTTGCTTTTACAATCAGAAAAAGAAAGTAAAACTACTTTCAGTTTGAAAAAAAGTTCGAAATAAAAAAGCCTTAAGACAATCTTCAAATTTCTTAAAATTTGCTTACAATAAAACAAAACAGAAAAACTCTTACACGAGTGAAGAAAAAAATTGTCCAACTGCCTCCATAACTGAGCCACACAATGTGCTGAGCACAGGAGGAAAAGGGAACAAGGGAGCCTCTTGAGGAAGGAGGCACAATGAGATCACCATCTCCTGATCTGGCACCGATCACATGTAAAATTCTTCAGTGCCTGAAGAATGAAGTATCTCTTCACATATCATTTTAATCCAAATTTTTGATGGCAGTTGATTTACAGGTACAATATTTCTAATTTCAAAGTTTTTAGAGGACAACAGAGAAAGCTTCCCATCTCTGATAGCAAAGAAATGGTGACTTTATTAACCACAGCACTTTCTGTTGCGAAAAAGAGACACGTACTATTGGGCATTGTACAATGCACACTTTATTCCATCGTGATTGGTTACTTGTAGGACAGGACAGCAAGAGACTATCAGTGCAGAACTTCTCTGGACTAAAGGGCCATGAAAGGCATTACTGGTTTTGGCACACAGAGTGGATAACCACACACTGGCTGGAACGAGATGGTCAGTAATGTAAAATGCACAGATCTAACACCACGTCGAAATCATGTCTGAATTCTGTAGAATGTTAAACAGTAAATAATTACAAAGGCTGACATGCAACTCTATATAAGTCACATCATTCATTTATGGACTGTTTTCCCCTCTTACAGATGAAGAGGTAGCCTTAGTAATCTGTTCACTGTAGCTTAAAAGAGCAATCAATAGACATTAGCGAGATCTGTCTGCTGATTTCTTAGCAATCCATCACAGTTGAGGAAATAATGCTAAATAATGTACTTTCTCTATATTGTTGTCTCTATTAAACTGACCCTTACTGACCAAATAACTCCCACCTAACTTTTACTTACCTAAATACAATTCCTAATGGCTTTACAACATCAAAAAGCAGTTTCTGTTAGTTTTTTATCCTTATAAATCACAATGGACAAGAGGGGAATCTAAGTAATGGGTATCTTCTTCCAAGATAACATTATGCTGATGAAAACATCACATAAATACTACTACTATGCTGTGCACATTTTAGGTTTTACATCATCATATCACATAGGGTGTCCAAAGAGGACAGCCTAGAGGAGACACAGCAGTGCAGAAAAAGATTCTGTAGAGGAAGTGCACAGATCCTAAGTGATTTCTTGAGATAAAGAGAGGCAAAGAAGAAAATAAGGAGAGGAAAAATGAAAAACAGCCTCTGTACAACAAATTGTTGAAAAGAAATATCTATTCACTTGCAACTGACTAAACAGAACAGAGAACAGTTCTTTAATTTGAAATATAGAAGTAAAAATATTGAAAATTACATGCCAGTTAGCTTTAGTATTAAGCCTAAACTGGTTAGTGTTTCTGTGGCTGATTTTGAGCTACTGAACTCTAACAGGGAGAATTCCTGCTTCTGCCAGCGTAGGGCCAGATTTTACCCAAAAGGGCAACCAGAACTGCAGAGGCCAAGTTTTCTTTATTAACTTGGGCATATGGGTAACTTTCATTCTCTCTCTGGTAAAACATATTATTCACTCATGATGAGACAGTTCGAAATATGACAGTGACCAAGATATGGTTCACTCACAGGATGCATATAATTAGATATTTACCTGTGAAATGAATTTTAAGGCTAAGCAAAAAGAAAGAGAAGGAATTTCTTCAAAGCTCAAGAAATTCATAAAATTATCAAATAAATTAAAAATACAGTGGTTAAAGATGTCTCAGTTTTCTCAGAGGCTTACCACTTTCATTTGCTAAGGGGGAGATGACAAATGAAGGTAATTCTCTCTGGGTCACCAGATATAAGGGATGTTTGATTACAAACACATAGGTAAGCAGAGTGAGACTTGAAGTAGTATTTCTTAGTATCTCTGATTCTTAATCTTAAACAATATGCCAGAGGCAATACAGAAAGGTGGAGATGACTAGGAAGTTTGATAACATGCCTGGATCAGTCACCATTCCTTGGAAAGTACCATGTCCCTGGCTTTCTAAAAGGCTGCTTCTTTCAGGTTTAAGTGAAAGACAATGATCTCTCCCTTCACTGAGGCACTGTTCTTTGTAAGAGACCCGTGTCAGTTTAAGGTTGTGTAATTTGAAGGTTAGAGAGGAAAGAAGTTTTAATTGAACTCCACAGGAAATATTCATGGATATTTCAAACGAGAATTGTCCATTGTCTGCAGTTGGTTTCAAACACTAAGCCGATGACTTTCTGAACGTGCCCCATCTGGCTTGCACTAGACCATCAATAATCATTTTTAGATGTGATGTCCTTTTGAAAAAAATAACTTTGCTGGATGAAGATAACTGCAGGGGGTAGAAGGCTGGAAATAAGCTGAGTCATGAAGGGGGAAATAGAAATGAGGTAAAGGAAAAAATAAGGCTCTATTCCCCAAGGTCTGTATATGGCCAGTAATGAAGCAAAATTTCATGGAATGTGACTTACAGAGACTTTCTAAGCCTTCCTAAGATGTTGGACCCATGGGGTGTTTCCAAGCCTCTTGATCCACAACCCCCCAGCAGCCATCTGGAGCTGAATTCACCTGCCCAGGTGTGGTACCCTCCTTCTTCTGGAGCTGAGATCTTTGGGGCAAACCTTGTCAGGATGTGCCTCTGTGTAGGTAACTCTCCCCACAACAGCCGTTCTGATTTTGGTTACAGTTCTGCTGAGGGGCCTGTTTGCCTTTCCGGGGAAGAGTAGGGGTAGTGGCAGAAGACGTAGCATGAGATCTAGAAGGCAAGACTCTGGATTTTACCCAAGGCGCAGGTGACTGAAAGAAGTGGGAAAGGCAAAAGAAAGTAACTGGAAAAAAGTTTCCAGGGTTCAGAAAAAAAAAAAAAAACAGGGAAAGGGGAGGCTCCATGGACCAGGGAATTTCAAAGGAATCAAAGATGATTAATGATAACCCCAGCCTATCTGACTGATCAAGAAGACATTCTTCAGCATACATGGGCAACTAAGCGATTTTCACACTGATAGAAACACTAAAGTGAAGGTGTCCTTACTATTATTAACCATGTTTCAATAATTCATTAGCTCTATTATTTTCTATATTGCTGAATTCATTTAGCAAATCCACAGGTTAGGTACCACCGTGAGGGGAGGGTGGGGGTGGTGCAGAAAGAAGCAATTAAACTCAGAATGAAACTTTTATAACCCAGAGTTAGTAGCAAAGCAGCACAGCAGGTTGTCAGAGACAACAACAGAAGTGGGTACGGTTTTCGGCCTGGCCAGTGCAGCTTTGCCGGCTACAAGGGAGGGCCTCCCACTCAGGAGTCTGCCTTCTTGTTAATCAGTATGGAGCAGCATGTGAGCAGCCCATCCACCTTTTCCATTTCAGAATTGCTCACAGGGATCAGCATATGGTCCTTCAGCTTTTCATAAACCTGCAGTAGGAATCAAGCAAAGGTAGAGACGGATGACGTTTCTGCCTCTGTCTTACCTCCCCTTCCCCCCGCCTGCTGAAGAGAATTAATTTGGCTTGTGAGTTTAGGCTTCTCACCCATTTAACCTCAAGATATGCATGCATTCTAGACCACACTCATGCCCACGGCCATATCCACAGAACTAGTGGCATCGGTTAACCACAGCTCTGTGCTGTAACCTCAAATGCAATGATGTGTCAAAAATGTGGTTGTTGCTAGAGACGCCTTTGCTCCGCCCTTGCCATTGCTCGATGAAGTGGGGCATGAAAGTCGGTGGCTGTGTGTTTTCAGTCTATTAGTCTCTCTCCACACTTTAAAATCCTTTCAACTGGAAGTTTCTTTCCATACCAATGCCACCGGAAACACTTAACAAAATAGAATTTATGTGAAGTATTTCAGGTCAAACTGCTTTTAAATTACAGGTGTGAATTCTATAGCATCTTTGGACACTAATAGAAAGCATGTGTCAAAACTTCAAATTAACCATCTACAGATTTTTCTCCTATGATTAAGCAAAGCACATTTTGTTAAGACCAAATTGCCTGAAACACACTGCCAAAAAACAATCTACCATGCACTGTGCTCTTCAAAATTTAGTACAGTGGTTATTTAAGAGTGCTGGAGTTGGACAGAGTTGGGTTCCAAACCCAGTTCTGTCAACTTACTACTTAAAGTGTGACTTCAGTCAAGTGACATGCCCTCTGAGCCTCGGCTTACTTCTCTGTAAGATTATAGTAATAAGAGTGGCCTCACAGGGCTGTTGTAAAGAATAAGTAAAATCACGCATGTAGCATGCCTGGTAGAGTGCCTGGGCACAGGGGAAGCCCTCAGTACTCACGGTGTTAGCATGGTTACGGCTGATAGACACAGGGCTATATTCAGAGGTGGTTAATAATCATCTGGTTGTCAGAAGATCATGTGGTTATAGAGGCCAGAATGATCCACAGCTGTGTTTCTCGAATGGGGTTCCGTAATCCAGGAACTTGTTTATCACAGATAGATTCTAGGGTGGGAGTCTAGGAACCTGTATTTTTAACAGCCATGATGCATGTTAAAGTATGAGACCCACTATCCATCTGAGAGCTGGTTAAGTCCCAGTGTGGGGTCAGGACTCCTCTACTTTCCTTAGGTTCACAGTTTCAGCCATGGAAATAGAGAGAGAAATGATCTATGTATCCCTACCCTTTTTGATATGCTGCGAAGAAGACAGATTATGAGGATAAGGCTAAAGCTATATAGTATTGCATACTTAAAAGGTGGCACAAAATATTTCCCAAGACTTTTAAAGCTTAAGATGTAAAAGACATAAGATCAGTGGTTACTAAAGTCTCTTGTTTAGTGCTTAGAATAAATATTTTGTTCCTCTGGGCACAGATGAAAATGCTGAGATGCCCAAAACAGATATGGACATTTGAAGGATCTATGAATAAACGTTGTTAAATTTACTTTGTGGGATTAAATCGAAATTACTAAAGTATACAGATAAGACTGGCAGAGTGCCCTGAAAGGCAAGATTTCCTTAGACCAGGAAAGAATTCCATATCTAAGGATAATTCCCTCGTTGAAACACAAATACAGAGCCTCTTAGAGGGACCAGTTGGCTGATGCAAGCAAACTATAGTTCTTTCTGGTCTGTCTTTTCAATCCTTTGCTACCTAAGAGGTATAGTTCCAAAGCTCTTCTTTTTGCAGCTCTGATATTGAGCACCCACCTCTTTGGGTCATTCATGCTTCTCTACCTTACAAAATAAGTAACCCTCTAATGAAGGGCAGCCCAGATTTGTCAGAAAACAACACAGTTGGCCATCTAATTGTAGGTCTCTTTGCTTAATGAGGATCTGAGTGTAGGGATATGTTCATTTAATCAGAGTGGAGCATAGACTTGGGAGATTTAAGTGTTCATTTGAAAATCTTTGAATACCAGGCTTGATCATCTCAATTACTGTATAAGCATTGGTCACCAGGGACATGAATGAGAAGAGTGAATTAAACACAATTTCCTTGTGCCCTAAGTGATATTACCCTTTCTGATTTCTTAATGATTTGATGTGTATAAAGGAAAAGGAAGCCACTGCTATTTGTCACTCCATCATGAAAGAATTCCCAGGCAGGAAGACTGTCAGCAAGGCCTGCCTAGCTGCAGTGGCCAGGAAGGATGGCTTTTTACCTTTGCACTTTCTGGATACTCTTCTGGTGTTCGGTGCAGCAAGACGTGGCCTTTGCTAGGGATATTTAGATATATACAGTTTGCGGCCGTATCATCAGGCACTGTGAGCTTGTCATAGCGGTGGTCACTCATCTGTTGCATGATCTATAAAGAGAACCAAAGCAGGCTTAAGTGGGGCATCTCCCCACACTTTTAAACAGAAGCAAAGCAGTGTGGTAGGATTTAACCTTGCAAACGATGCCTAAGAATGTCTCTGTGTCGAATTTCCCGTCTACTGCCTCTAGTCACTTAGAATCAGAAGAGGAAATCTAATGAAGCTATGATTCTTTGAAAGAATTGCAGGTTCTTCTTGTTGCAGTTTTTTTAAAAGTGTGTGCTTGTCTCTAATTTCATAAAGGTTTTAAAACTGTCTACAATTTTTCTAGTTTTTTTTCCCTAAGACCTAACATAAGATACAAAATAGCCATATATACAAAAGGCCCAGTTGAGGTTTTGATGATAGCCTTGGCTGAGGAAGCAGGGCTGCTCTGGTCTGTAGGATAAAAGGACCATAGTAGTAACCAGATGGGCAATAATATGATTTATCAATAACCATTGGCATGTGCACACACACACACATATGCACAATTTCCTCTTCTAGATACATTTCAATTGAATTCCCCTGTCTGTTCACAGGTGATGTCCTTAACAGTGTACATAAAAAGCATTTGAGGAGAATATTAAATTTCATATTCCTAGGTCTCAGCCCCAGGGCTTCTGGTCTGGCAGATTTGAAGTGAGGCATAGAAATATTTGCATTCTGAAGTTCCCCAGGTAATTCTGAGGCAGATGGTCCCTGGACCTCCCTTGGGGAAAAAACCTTTTGAGCTAGTCTATTTATCAAATAACAGGTTTATTAGTACCTTAGTATAAAATAACACAAAAAAATGAATATCCCACAAAACAAAATATTGAAAACAAATCCTCACCTCCTTAACACCATCAAATCAAAAACCCCTGAAACAACACCTCCCCCTACCAACAAAAATATCCAAACACTAAAAAACAAACAAATGATTATTTTGGGCTTAGATCTATAGACTTTCCATTCTTTATTACTACCCATAAGTCTTAAGGAATTTGCTGAAATGCCAAGGTATATGTAGCAAGAGCTTTTCCACAATCTGGTTTTCATTCATCTTTCCATCCAAGTCTCCCTCTACCGTTCAATATTTGTGTGGAAATGTGCTTCGGATTATTAGTCCCCTGAATTAAGTAGACTTCCCCCTCAGTCACGGTAGCACTGGACAGAAAGATTTATGGTATGAGAGAGTGGAAGAGACGGGATACTCCCTTTAGAAAATTCATTTCAAAGATAATATGTGGAGTGGTACACAGTAAAGCCCCTCCTGACTTACCACTTAGGTGGACCACTCCCTTCTCCTAGTGTGGAGTGTATCAAGGGCTGAGAGAGGCCAGAGTAACCTGCTAATGGAACATCCTTCACACAGAAGGAAACGTCAGGAATGGGGATGAGCTTAAGTACTATCTCAAAGGCTAAGAGACACAAAAATGAGTAGGACATAGATCTGGGACTTTCTGAAACAGTCATAGCCTAATGGAGGAGACTGAGAGACGAATGTATGATTATATTTCGATAAGAATAAGCTGGGCGCCATGCTGGTTTTCATTTATTATCTCAGAATTGCCATTTTATAGATGAATAAACTGGACTGAGAAAAGTCAAATAATTTGCATAAGGTCATAGAGATAGATTCAAATCCGGATCAGTGCAACCCAAAATGGTCTCTATTAATCACCTCACTTTGCTCTCTGTATTGACCTCAGAGCTGATGAAGTAAGTCTCTTTTGCAAACTAATAACATCTACTTTTCCACTCTCATTTGGTACTTACTATTTATTCCCTTGTACCCCACTTAGTCTTTTTTTATATGTAGTCCTATTATCACATGGTAAAATTGGTATAGTTACAGGACTGGACATTTCTCTTGCATTTTTGAATTTAAATTGTTGCGTGAAGGGATAGGCCCATAGAGTGGTTTGCCCATAGGGTGGGTTCTTCATTAGCGCCCTGATTGAGAAACCTTAGATCTATTTGAACAGGTGGATAATTAAGATAAAACACCACTAAAGAGAACTATTCTAAGCAAATTAACATGTTCAATTTAGCCCTCTTTATATAATGGATACACCCAGAGAAAAAGAGGCTTACATAAGAGGAGAAAAAAAACAAGTAGCTCTCTTCTATTCTGAATTATTATTTAATTACATATTATGCAGACTTTCTTTCTGGCTGCTTTCAAAACAGCAGCTCCCATTTATTATGGTGTGGGAGAGGGCATATCAAGACCATGAACTCTGGAGTAACTCTTGGGTTGAGTCTCAGTTCTAGCCTTTATTAGCTATGTAAATAAAAGCTTTTTTTTCCCCCCTAACTCCTTGTTTTTCTCACCTGTAAAATTGGGATAAGAATAGTCTTCCATATACTTTCTGTTGAAGTTGCATGAAGATAATGTATGTAATAAGGCATAATAATAAGTCTTAAATAAGCTACTAACATTTTATGACAGCATGACCAGAAAAACAAGGTTTCAGTTGCCAGTCTGCAGGCCCACGGACTATTCTGGCAAGCTCTAGCCTTTAATCTCACTCTTAAAATAGCCTGTTTTAGAGGTCAGTCCTTATTCTGAAAATCACATAAGCCTATACCCCTCATATTCCTGATGGTTATTTAACATAGAATTGGAGAGTCTTGCAGGTTTAGCATCCCTTCTGCCTGGATCCCCTAGAAAGAGTTGCTACAGTGTTCCCAAATATTTCAAAATTAGGACCAGTCTGAATATGAGAGTTTTTAGGAAATTTCTCTCTTTAAAGGGACTGCTAGCTCCTGCAATGCAGGTCTAGTTCATAATGGAGTAAACACAGCATGGACTTTGGAGTCAGAAAGATTTGGGTCTGAAGCCTTGCTGTGCCATACACTAACTGTGTGACCTTGAGCAAGTCAATGAAGCTCTCTGAGCCTCATTTCTTCAGCTGTAAAATGGGATGACAATGTCATACCTATTTCCCATAGGGTGACTCTAAAGATTATTTTAAAAAACCAAAATAAAATGGATAATGTATGTGAAGTGTTTAAAACAAGTTCCTAGCACATATTAAAAGTGTAATAAATGTGAGCACCCTTCCCTCTGTGTTTTTTTCAAGTCATTTGTCATATAGCAGGGTGATCAAAATATGTTTGCAACTAACTGAATCATTTCTTCATTCCTTTCAAAGGATATGCAAACCTCAGGAGTGCACTGGAATGGAATATTCCTTCAGAAAAACAAGGTATGGTCTATGTCCAGAAACAGAATACAATTCATTAGTTAAAGTGAGCCAGGCTAAAATCAATGAGGCCGAGGTTTGTCTTTTTCCCTATATGCTGTACAGTAGGTCACTGTACTCTGTGGTCCTAACCCAAATGACTTTGGATGCAAGACAATAAGGAGTGGTGGAACTGCAGCTAACTAGGCAGTGTGCAGCACCCAAAAGCACTAAAACAAAGAAAGGAAAGAAAAAAAACTGTTGTGTGCAGCAAACAGAACACATGTATCTCATCAGTTTGTGACCCCTGTTTTAGCAAAATAGTCCAGGAACCCAATGAGCAGATTGATTTCTTCATGATGAAAGAGGAGCTGTCTCTATTGCAAAGTGGCAGTTAGGGTTTGTGAAGCTCTTCAGTAGTCTCCCATGGGTGGGTCTGGCCAGATGCTTTTTCCCAGGTGCTGGGAGGAGGACCTCAGTAGGCCTGAAGGTCTGCTGACTGTGTGTTGTTGACAGTGGGCCAAGATAGTCGGTTGGCTTACATTTGCAGTAAGAACTGGACTCTCATCCTTCGCATGGATTAGATGTAGTTTACCTGAGAAGTTCAGGATTCCTTCCAGACCCACTGGGGAAACAGTTCCCTGGGCCAGAGGTTTACTAAGTAGGACTCCAGTGACTCAAGGGCCTCACAAAGATCCTTAAAACATGATATGTACAGCCATTGTTCCCTGGTCAAGCTTAAACACAAACAAAACAAACTCCAGAAAATAGTATTTCCACTGACCTAATTTCCTAAGCAATTGGGAGAATTGTGGGTGACTTATTTTGGTCCATCACATTCAGGCTAGTTGCTCCCACCAATCATAAACTCTAGATAAACTGCCAGGTGGTTTTCTGGTTTAATTCATGGTCTGTAGATGATTCATTACACTCTTTATCCATAAAGATATCACCTAGAACTTTTAGTACGAGATGAATTCAAAGAGAAAGCAGCATGTAAAGACCACACCTGGTACACTTGATTACAAGCAAATTCCCCACCTCTCAGTCTGACTCACGCGTGTCCGTCCGGTGGTGACTACTAAGCAGAAACATGGAATGTTGTACATTCCAGAGGAAATGTTATCAAGGATTATTATCAGTGCTAACTTCTTGTTTATCAGTGAGGGAACAAACTAAAATCTCCAAGGTTGTACCTACCTCAGAATGTGCCCAGTTTCTTTGGTGGAACGGAGACAATCATTTCCTTTCCCAGACTGCTTTATTTACCGGGCTCCACGCTCCCTCCCACCGCCACCCTCACCTCCTAGAGGAAATGTCCTCCTCACTGGGTTCCTAGGAGTTTGCTTTGTCCTTTGGTTAATGACATCTATTTGAATTTTAATCACTGCTTTTCCTCACTCTTTAGTGTTTCTCTTTTCCGGGCCTTACATTGTAATTTATAGCTTGTGGTAGGATCCCGCATTCCTCAAATTTCTGAACTAAGAGCTAGTACCCGACCTAGCATTGTTTGAGAATGGTTTCATTTTTTTCATTACTGTGAGGAAAGGAATTCAAATATCCTGAGTGAGGAAATAATTTAATGCTGGGAATATATAAAGTAATTCACTGATAAATTCTACTCTTTAAATTAATGTCTTCGCAAAACCACCAAAGCCACCTTAGAAGTTTTCAATTAGTATATCAGGGCCCCTGGTTATCATCTGAAGAGAGGTTAAAAAATGTGCCCAAAGAAATAACTTTTAATAATAGAACAGGCCCTGTTTGGAGCGGTGAATGGTTCTGATTAACTGGAAAGAAAAAAAACCTAAACGCTCTGTCAGGAGTAGTCTTTCTAA